AAGATTACTAACAGCCTCCGCCGAAGCGGCTGTATGGGCTGGCTGGTAGACTGCATCAATAGATATATGCATATTTTGGCTTATGGCCACTTTTATAACCAACAGCTCACACATTTTGGGGACAAGGATTGCTAAAACAGCATGATGCCATATGAGTAGATCTTACATAAATAGCCACCGTTCACCCTTTTCTTTAGTCTATCACATCTGAAAATGTTTGGGTCTGCAATGGCAATGTCCTTATCCATAATCAAATTATTCAGCCAGGTCTCTGAGATAGCCAGAACGTCTGGGCTAGTGACATTCAGAAAGTTTAGACATCAGGCTTCGTACATTTATATGTAACAGTCCAAGCCCTCTGCAAGATTTGAAAACATGGTGACGCATGAGTCAATAGAACTGAATGAGCTAGCCACAATGGGCTTCCTGATTGGATTCAAAGTTGCAGCTCTAATAGTAGAATTCAGGTCAATGTGCACAAGATTACCAGAACCTAACCCTGACCCTAACCCTAACCCTAACCCTGACCCTGACCCTAACCCTGACCCTAACCCTAACCCTAACCCTGACCCTGACCCTGACCCTGACCCTAACCCTGACCCTAACCCTAACCCTAACCCTGACCCTGACCCTGACCCTAACCCTAACCCTGACCCTGACCCTAACCCTAACCCTAACCCTAACTATTAACAATACCCCTATGCTTATGAGCACATGTAGCAATACGATAGCTTGATATAAAACTATTAATAGGTGGATTCTTTATAGGAGCTAACAGAGATATCAATGGAAATTAAATTAACAGGCACATAATTACTATTTACAATACCCCTATCAACATGGGAAGCTGTGGCGGAATGATATCGCAGTGATTTAATGGGAGTAAATATCTATCAACATGGGAAGCTGTGGCGGAATGATATCGCAGTGATTTAATGGGAGTAAATATCTATCAACATGGGAAGCTGTGGCGGAATGATATCGCTGTGATTTAATGGGAGTAAATACCTTTGAGGAGCTTGATTTGATCAGTCATTGCCTCAACGCTGCCTTGTAGTGTTTGGACAGGATCCAGGCAGATGATTAGGGTGGATCCCATCCTCCTTGTTGAGCATTTTCTGCTTCCAAAAGGTGTCAAAGTTGTCTACAAAAGTTACACCAATGGAGCTGCAGTAGTCATGTAGCCAGTTGTGAAGCACACATAGCCTGCTAAAACGTTCACTACATCGACCCAGCGAGGGCACAGGGCCAGAAATTATAGGACGTTTTTTGGTGTCCAGCAGAGACCCAATCAGTTCTTCAAAATCCTGTTTCAGCCGTTCCGAGCTAACATTCCTAATGTCATTAAATCCCACATGGACTACAACAGCATCAAACTCCGTGTACTGACGTAGAACGGTGGGGAGCCTAGTAACTCTTGGTACCCGGTTATAGCCTCCCATAACCAACGAAGCCTCATTCACCGTAGAAGACACCGGAGAGGGAGGATTCAGAACAGGGGTACCTCCGGATCTGATCTCGAAGCGGAAGCCCCAAGGGATGAAGTTGCTGGAACCTCTGGATCAAGGGCGGCGATGCTGTTTGAAGTCTGTATGCGGTCTGGGCTTCTCATCACCAAGGAGGCCCATATTGCCAAAGGCCGCTGCTTTCTACTTCCACGGTGAGTGACGTGCCTCAATGGCTGGTTGGTAGGATCAAGAACATCCACTAAGTCATCCAGAAGCAACCCGCTAACTCCATTATTCAGGGAAGGGGGAGACTCCTTCGGGGAAGGATCCCTGCAGAGCACCTGCCAGTCGGCTGTGGAGAGACGACACGGTAGCAACACTCCCACCAGGCCAGAGAGGCGTCCACCTACTGGAGAAAGAAAAAGTAGGTGGGCGTGGATTCCCCAGTAGGTTGTGTAGGATTCCCCAGTAGCTTGTGTAGGATTCCCCAGTAGCTTGTTAGGGATTCCCCAGTAGCTTGTGTAGGATTCCCCAGTAGGTTGTGTAGGATTCCCCAGTAGGTTGTGTAGGATTCCCCAGTAGCTTGTGTAGGATTCCCCAGTAGCTTGTGTAGGATTCCCCAGTAGCTTGTGTAGGATTCCCCAGCTCCTGTGATTTCTATAGTAGAGTACAGTTTCTACAGTAATCATATCAAGCTTTATTTATACAGACATGGAATGCAACGTAATGTGCTTTACAGGAAAAAACTAATTTTAAAAAATGAAAATAAAAGCTGAAATATTTACTACGCAACAAACATAAGCTAAAAAACAAAAGAATGATAAACTGAATAACTAAAAAGCACCCTAAGGAAAAGCAAAGCTAAAAATATGTATTTTAAGATCTCTTTTAAATATGTCCACAGTTTCGGCCCCCCTCAGGTTCTCTGGCAGGCTATTCCAGAGGCTGAGGGCATAGTAACTAAAGGCTGCCTCTCCATGCCTCTTGGTCCAAGGCTTTGGGATAGTTACAAGGCCAGGGCCAGAGGACCTAAGGGACCTACTGGGTACATAATTTAAAAGCATGTCTGACAGGTATTTGGGTGCACAATCGTGGATTGATTTAAAAACCAATAGAAGAATCCAGAAGTTCCTCCTCTGTAATTTCCCCTTCAGATGAGTCTTTCTGTATGGCTGTTAATTTTACATTATCAATAGAAAAAAAATCCATACAATTAGCTTCGGTTAGAGGAGTTGGAGGCGACTGAAACGAAAACATATGCTTAAAACTTTGCTTCCTCCCTCAAAATATAATTTGGTGAATCATGGGTGAATCCGTCATTTGTAACCAGTTTCAGTAAATACTTTTTGGTGAAGACACTTGCCAGTTGGTCCGCGCATGCTTTGATAACACTTCCTGGTAATCCGTCAGGCCCCGCAGCTTTGTGAATGTTGACCTGTTTAAAGGTCTTGCTCACATCGGCTACCGAGAGCGTTATCACACAGTCGTCCAGAACAGCTGGTGCTCTCATGCATGCTTCAGTGTTGCTTGCCTCAAAGCGAGCATAAAAGGCATTTAGCTCATCTGGTAGGCTCGTGTCAATGTGCAGCTCGTGGCTGGGTTTCCCTTTGTAGTCCGTAATAGTTTTCAAGCCCTTCCACATCCGACGAGCGTCAGAGCCGGTGTAGTAGGATTCAATCTTAATCCTGTATTGACGCTGTGCCTGTTTGATGGTTCGTCTGAGGGCGTAGCAGGATTTCTTATAAGAGTCCGGATCAGTGTCCCGCTCCTTGAAAATGGCAGCTCTAGCCTTTAGCTCGATGCGGATGTTGCCTGTAATCCATGGCTTCTGATTGGGATATGTACGTACGGTCACTGTGGGTACGACGTCATCGATGCACTTATTGATGAAGCCAATTACTGAGGTGGTATACTCCTCAATGCCATTGGATGAATCCCGGGACATATTCCAGTCTGTGCTAGCAAAACAGTCCTGTAGCGTAGCATTTGCGTCATCTGACCACTTCCGTATTGAGCTGGTACTTTAGCTAGCTTAGCCTCAGCCAGCACCATCTTCAGATTAGCCTTTACGTCGGTAGCCCTGCCCCCTGGTAAACAGTGTATGATCCCTGGATGATTATTTTTATGTCTAATATTGCAGGTAATGGAGTCGCCAATGACTAGGGTTTTCAATTTGTCCGAGCTAATGGTGGAAGGCTTCGACGGCTCAGACCCCGTAACGGGTGGAGGAGAGACCTGAGAAGGCTCGGCCTCTGACTCCGACTCGTTGCTTAATGGGGAGAACCGGTTGAAAGTTTCTATCGGCTGAATGAGCGACACCGGTTGAGCATGCCAACAGCATTTCTTTCCAGAAGCCTTAAGAAAATTGTCCGGCTGCGGGGACTGTGCGGGGGGGATTTATACTACTATCTGTATTTACTGGTGGCACAGACGCTGTTTCATCTTTTCCTACACTTACATTGCCCTTGCCTAACGATTGCATCTGAAGCTGGGCTTGCAGCACGGCTATCCTCACCATAAGGCGATAGTTCTCCTGTATATTATGAGTACAACGACTGCAATTAGATGGCATAGGGTTAATGTTACTACTTAGCTTCGGCTGGTGGAGGTCCTGTAGAACCATGTCCAGATAAAGGGTCCTGTAGAACCATGTCCAGATAAAGGGTCCTGTAGAACCATGTCCAGATAAAGGGTCCTGTAGAACCATGTCCAGATAAAGGGTCCTGTAGAACCATGTCCAGATAAAGAGTCCTGTAGAACCATGTCCAGATAAAGAGTCCTGTAGAACCATGTCCAGATAAAGAGTCCTGTAGAACCATGTCCAGATAAAGGGTCCTGTAGAACCATGTCCAGATAAAGGGTCCTGTAGAACCATGTCCAGATAAAGGGTCCTGTAGAACCATGTCCAGATAAAGCGTCCAGGGTGAAAAAGTTGAATGAAAAAAGTCAAGCGAGGAAAAAACTAAGATGTTAGTAAATGTGTTAAATGCAGATTTTGATTAAACGGTTATTAAAAGTAAAAACTGTAAAGTTTGTCAGGTAGTTAAGTAGCAACAAACAGCACAGCAGCGCAGAGACAAGTCCGGAAGGAACGCTTACAATTCCTCCAATCAGGAGCGAGGTAGAATCATGTGTGAGTATAGTAGAGTAGAGCAGAGTTTCTACATAGACGTTATAGATACATAGATATACATAGACGCTATAGATACATAGATATACATAGACGTTATAGATACATATATATACATAGACGTTATAGATACATATATATACATAGACGTTATAGATACATAGATATACATAGACGTTATAGATACATAGATATACATAGAAGTTATAGATACATAGATATACATAGACGTTATAGATCACCACCAGGGGAAGGGCCTGTTGTTTTAAGGTTACCAAGGTTACTGTCATTAACTTCCCATCAGTTTATAATATTCTCAACAAAGATTCTATGATCAACAGAGAAACACTATAATAGACGTAAGGAGAAACACTGAAGACGTGTTTGTCCGTATGTGAGCGTGTCCTGCCGTCTCTCCCAGGTATCGGACGCGGTTCCGGCCGGCCTATAAGATCGCCTATAAGACGGTGACAGACCTGGAGTGGAGGTGTTGCCCTAGTTACCAGGGACCAGACTGCTCTGAGCTGAAGGCTGCTCCTAACAGACAGACGGTACCAGCAGGGTCACAGCCTTACCAGAACCAGTACCCTAACAGACAGACGGTACCAGCAGGGTCACAACCTCACCAGAACCAGTACCCTAACAGACAGACGGTGCCAGCAGGGTCACAGCCACACCAGACCCAAAACTCTGGGGCAGCACCACACTACCCCCAGACCAGATCCATCCCTGAACAGACCAGACACACACAGAGTAAGATACTTGACAACATAACATGTTGCTGCTGTCTCAATCCACTTTTTAGAGATGGATTTGAAAAGTATATGAAGTGTGTTAGTGTGTTGTATTGACTTAACTGTGTCTTGTGTCCTCTGTCTCAGGGCCAGAGAGGAGGGAGACGGGGGTGTATGAGGGGAGGCATGGGGGTGGAGGAGCAGACAGAGACAGGGTGCGTCTCCTGGAGGGGGAGGTGCAGCGCCTCTCCCAAACAGTGGGGGCGCTGCAGGCTGCGGTGACTGGGCTGAGCTCCACTCTGAGGACTGACCTGCAGGAGGACACCTCCAAGATGCTGGTCACCCTGCTCAACAACCTCCGCCCTCTGACCCCCGACAGTGCCCACGTCCCCGACATAGAGCAGGCCGCAGTACCGCCGGACAACCACCAGGGGTCAGTGATCGACGGGCACCAGGCCACCAGGGGGCCTGTCCTGGACAGGGGGCTGGAGAAGGTCCTGGCCAGGTTGGATGATGTCAACACCTCTCTGAAGAGTAAAGAGGAGGCTCTGGAGGAGCTGAGAGGAACCGTGACCTCACACAGCGGTCATATCCGCCTGCTGCTGGATGCCTCTCAGACACAGCAAGGCCCTGACTCTAACCCTGTGGGGGGTGGAGCCCCCGCTGACCTGGAGGAGCTACTAGAGAAATACATGGACAGGCAGCTGGGCTCCCTGAGGAAGAACATGGAGGACAGCATGGAGAGAATGATGGAGGAGAGGATGGGGAAGGAGGTGGAGAAGCTGCAGAGCTCCTGTGATGGAAGGATCCAGTCGATGGAGAGGAGGTGTGAGGAGGAGCGGGAGAGAGGACTGCTCAGTCTGACTGAAATGGTGGACAAGGAGGAGCAGCTAAAGGAGGAGATCAGGGAGTTGAGACTGGACATCACCGCCTCTGACCAGCCCGGACGGACACTCAGACAGACTGACCCCAAACCTAATGTTAGACAGACTGATCCCAAACCTAGCCTTAGACAAACTGTCCCTGCAAGACAGACCGTCCTGGCTAGACAGGATAACCAGCCACCAGGTATCCTACCAGCTGTCCAGCGTGGTGACCTATCTGACCTGTGGAGGGAGCTGGAGCGTGTTGCGGAGGCCCATCGCATCCTGAATGCCCGAATGGACAACGAAATGCAGTACCTGTCCCCTCCACAGGGGGAGCTAGAGGGAAAGGGGTTAGCGCTAGAGGGGGAGGGGTTAGGACTAGAGGGAGAGGTGGGGTCTCGGCTGGATGAGTTGGAGGCGCGTCTGAATGTGACAGAGCAGAACGCGGAGGTCCACTGTTTCTACGTGGAGGAGAAGCTGACCCGGGCACTAGCCGAGCAGGGGGCGGAGCTACGACAGCTGCTGGAGGAACGAGTAAACGCACTGGAGGACCAGTTTACCACCATGCTGGTCGAGATGAACAACGGGTCATATCCTGTTGAAGAAGGAGGGAGCGTGGACCCTCAGGTACTGTAGGTAGACAAGTAGGGTAGAGGAGGACCAGTTTTAAGAAAGTTGTTGGTTTTAATCCCAGACCTGGTGATAGAAAGTGGGAGATGAACTGGCAAACGGAGGGCTGCTGGTCTCAGATCCCAGGTACCATCTCCAGCCGTTGTGCCCTCGAGGGGCGCTGCACTGTACATGGCAGTGTGTTTGTGTGTTATGTGTCCATGGTAACTGATTCTGTCTTGTTCTCCCCTGCAGGCTGAGCTGAACAACAACAAGGTTCTTCTGCAGGGTCTGGATGACAAGGTGACCGCTGTGGCTGAGCTCTGTGCTACCAGCTGTGGTGGAGGACCTAACACTGGTGGCTTTACCAACACCAACCCTGGAGCGTCCTCCCACCCTGTAGTTCTGGACAGTGTGGTGAAGGACCTGAAGCTCTGTCGTAACGACCTGGATATCCTCCACACGGATGTGACGGCCAACTCTGACAAACTGAGCGAGCTGGAGGAGATTATAGACAGGCAAATGGCGGGGCAGCAGCGGAGCATTAAGACGGTGGAGGACCTCCAGAGGGGGATGGTGATCCTGCAGGACAACATGGGGGGTCTGGGGGTGGCAGTTACGGGGCTGGGGGACTCTCTGAGCAAGTACACCCAGGACCTCAACAGCATTAACACCACCTACAACACCTGCTGCCAGGTTGGGGCTGGAGCAAGGGCCGGGTCAGGGGGAGGGTTAGCCAGGATCCAGAGTGTGTCTGAGGGTGTAATGGTCCCCAGAGAAGAGGGGGAGGGCAGCAGCAGCAGCCAGGTGGAGGAGCTGAGAACCAAACTGGACAGCCTCACTAACCAGGTAGTTATCTAGTAGTCCGTTATCTAGTAGTCTGTTATCTCCCTAACCAGGTAGTTATCTAGTAGTCTGTTGTCTCACTAACCAGGTAGTTATTTAGTAGTCTAGTGGTCAGTTATTAGTTAGTGGTTAACACTGTTATCTGTCTTGTTATCTTGTTACAATTTCATTGAGATCCCAAAATATTTTGATTGCTCTTCTTCTTCTTTTTAGGTGCATACAGAGCTCCAGCGTTGCTCTGGTGTGTCTGGGGTGGAGGGTCGTGTCCAGCGTCTGGAAAAGGTGTGTGTTCAGCTGGACGGGGTGTCGGCCGGCGTGCAGGGGGTGAAGGAGGGGTTGGAGAAGCACGTTGCTGGGCTTTGGCACCACGTCAGCCGGGTCAACACCATGCTGGACAGACAGGCTACTGACATCACCACACTACAGACCTCCCTAAAGACACTACAGACCAGGAGCACTGACACCACCGCCAGGGAGACAGGTCAGTAGTATACAGACCTCCCTAAAGACACCACCGCCAGGGAGACAGGTCAGTAGTATACAGACCTCCCTAAAGACACCACCGCCAGGGAGACAGGTCAGTAGTATACAGACCTCCCTAAAGACACCACCGCCAGGGAGACAGGTCAGTAGTATACAGACCTCCCTAAAGACACCACCGCCAGGGAGACAGGTCAGTAGTATACAGACCTCCCTAAAGACACCACCGCCAGGGAGACAGGTCAGTAGTATACAGACCTCCCTAAAGACACCACCGCCAGGGAGACAGGTCAGTAGTATACAGACCTCCCTAAAGACACCACCGCCAGGGAGACAGGTCAGTAGTATACAGACCTCCCTAAAGACACCACCGCCAGGGAGACAGGTCAGTAGTATACAGACCTCCCTAAAGACACCACCGCCAGGGAGACAGGTCAGTAGTATACAGACCTCCCTAAAGACACCACCGCCAGGGAGACAGGTCAGTAGTATACAGACCTCCCTAAAGACACCACCGCCAGGGAGACAGGTCAGTAGTATACAGACCTCCCTAAAGACACCACCGCCAGGGAGACAGGTCAGTAGTATACAGACCTCCCTAAAGACACCACCGCCAGGGAGACAGGTCAGTAGTATACAGACCTCCCTAAAGACACCACCGCCAGGGAGACAGGTCAGTAGTATACAGGAGATAATGGATGGATGGATGGGTGGGTGGATGAATGGCTGGACGGCTTTGTTTTTGTTTAGTTTAATTTGCACCAAAGAAAACAATTGATAAACAAAAATATAGATAAAAACTAATAAATAAACGGTGTGCAGGTGTAGTTGGAAGCCCAGGGGCTTGTATAAAAACCACACCACAAAAAAACTATATACAATACATAAGTACAAAAATAAAAAGGTTTTGTTAAAACGGATAACAAAACCTACTATTCATAAATGTATAAATTAATTGATCAGTAATCACGAGAAAAAAAAACTAACAGTATTTATTTTGTTTAAATGTGTGTGTGCATGTGAGTGTGTGAGAGTTGGGCTATATGGAGGAGATTACTGAGTAGTTTGGTTCATCAGGCTGACCCCCAGTCTTACCTTTAAGTTATTGAGGGATGATGATGTTTTGGCAGTGTGAAGATAAGAATTCTATATCTGATAGAGAATTGACTATGTGAGGTGTGGCAGTGGGGAGGGTGAAGGTTATCACAGTGTCTTGTGTTATATAGATGGATTTCAGAATTAACCTGGAAGAATCCATTGAAGGGTTTAGGTAAACTGTCTGGGAGGTATGAGTATTTGTAGATGAAACTTTTCATCCATTTCATTCCCACCAATTGAGATTCTGGCTCCTTTTTTACAATATTTCTTATTCTTACTAGTGAATACAATAAAGTTGGATTTTTTAACATTTAAAGATAACTTGTTTATCTGGAACCATTCAGCACATTTGTCCATGCCTGAGCTGGCTTCATTAATTACTGAATCAAAATGATTGTGTGATAAAATCTACTTGGTATCATCAGCAAAGAGAAGGGGAAGTATGGTAGGAGACACAGCAGCAAGGTCATTAATATAGATTAGGAATGACAAAGGTTCAAGGTCATTAATATAGATTAGGAATGACAAAGGTCCAAGGTCATTGATATAGATTAGGAATAACAAAGGTCCAAGGTCATTGATATAGATTAGGAATAACAAAGGTCCAAGGTCATTAATATAGTTTAGGAATGACAAAGGTCCAAGGTCATTGACATAGATTAGGAATGACAAAGGTCCAAGGTCATTAATATAGATTAGGAATGACAAAGGTCCAAGGTCATTGATATAGATTAGGAATGACAAAGGTCCAAGGTCATTAATATAGTTTAGGAATGACAAAGGTCCAAGGTCATTGACATAGATTAGGAATGACAAAGGTCCAAGGTCATTGACATAGATTAGGAATGACAAAGGTCCAAGGTCATTGATATAGATTAGGAATGACAAAGGTCCAAGGTCATTGATATAGATTAGGAATGACAAAGGTCCAAGGTCATTGATATAGATTAGGAATGACAAAGGTCCAAGGTCATTGATATAGATTAGGAATAACAAAGGTCCAAGGTCATTGATATAGATTAGGAATAACAAAGGTCCAATTATCCAACCCTGTGGGACACCACAGGATATCTTGGCCCTGGTAGATGCACAGCTGTTTGCATAAACAAATTGTTCTCTATCATAAACATAACTATATAGCCAATTATATGTATAGTCATGAAAACCGTAATAATGCAATTTAGAAAGTCATATTTCATGATCATCCGTGTCAAACGCTTTGGATAAATCTAAAAAGATGCCAATAGCGTATTCATTGTTGTTAAAGGCTGTAAATATTTTATCCACAAGTTGCAAAAGAGCCACTCCTGGGGAGTAGTTTTTACAAAAACCATATTGGTGCTCATATAGAATACAGGGTTGGAACCATATTGGTGCTCATATAGAATACAGTGTTGGAACCATATTGGTGCTCATATAGAATACAGTGTTGGAACCATATTGGTGCTCATATAGAATACAGGGTTGGAACCATATTGGTGCTCATATAGAATACAGTGTTGGAACCATATTGGTGCTCATATAGAATACAGTGTTGGAACCATATTGGTGCTCATATAGAATACAGTGTTAAAACCATATTGGTGCTCATATAGAATACAGGGTTGGAACCATATTGGTGCTCATATAGAATACAGTGTTGGAACCATATTGGTGCTCATATAGAATACAGTGTTGGAACCATATTGGTGCTCATATAGAATACAGGGTTGGAACCATATTGGTGCTCATATAGAATACAGTGTTGGAACCATATTGGTGCTCATATAGAATACAGGGTTGGAACCATATTGGTGCTCATATAGAATACAGGGTTGGAACCATATTGGTGCTCATATAGAATACAGGGTTGGAACCATATTGGTGCTCATATAGAATACAGGGTTGGAACCATATTGGTGCTCATATAGAATACAGTGTTGGAACCATATTGGTGCTCATATAGAATACAGGGTTGGAACCATATTGGTGCTCATATAGAATACAGTGTTGGAACCATATTGGTGCTCATATAGAATACAGGGTTGGAACCATATTGGTGCTCATATAGAATACAGTGTTGGAACCATATTGGTGCTCATATAGAATACAGTGTTGGAACCATATTGGTGCTCATATAGAATACAGGGTTGGAACCATATTGGTGCTCATATAGAATACAGTGTTGGAACCATATTGGTGCTCATATAGAATACAGTGTTGATTTAAATGTTTCAACATTCTCGTATACACCAATTTTTCTAGGATTTTAGAAAAACATGGTAGGACAGATATTGGGCGATAATTTGTAAAAGATTTTGGATCCCCATATTTATAGAGGGGGAAAATTTGTCAATTTTCAGATCTTTAGGAACATTACCAGTTTGCATAGATTTGGAGAAGATATACAGTACCAGTCAAAAGTTTGGACACACCTACACATTCAAGTGTTTTTCTGTATTTTTACTATTTTCTACATTGTAGAATAACAGTGAAGACATCAAAACAATGAAATAACACATATGGAATCATGTAGTGACCAAAAAAGTGTTAAACAAATCAAAATATATTATATATTTGAGATTCTTCAAAGTAGCCACCCTTTGCCTTGATGACAGCCTTGCACACTCTTGGCATTCTCTCAACCAGCTTCATGAGGTAGTCACCTGGAATGCATTTCAATTAACAGGTGTGCCTTGTTAAAAGTTAATTTGTGGAAAGTTCTTTCCTTCTTAATGCATTTGAGACAATCAGTTGTGTTGTGACAAGGTAGGGGTGGTATACAGAAGATAGCCCTATTTGGTAAAAGACCAAGTCCATATTATGGCAAGAACAGCTCAAATAAGCAAAGAGAAACGACAGTCCATTATTACTTTAAGACATGAATGTCAGTCAATCCAGAAATTTCAAGAACTTTGAAAGTGCAGTCACAAAACCCATCAAGCACTATGATGAAACTGGCTCTCATGAGGACTGCCACTGGAAATAAAGACCCAGAGTTACCTCTGCTGTAGAGGATAAGTTCATTAGAGTTAACTGCACCTCAGATTTCTGCCAAAATAAATGCTTCACAGAGTTCAAGTAACAGACACATCTCAACATCAACTGTTCAGAGGAGACTGCATGGTCGAATTGCTGCAAAGAAACCACTACTAAAGGACACCAATAAGAAGAAGAGACTTGCTTGGGCCAAGAAACATAAGCAATGGAAATGTGTCCTTTGGTCTGGAGTCCGTATTGGAGATTTTCTGTTCCAACCTCCGTGTCTTTGTGAGACGCAGAGTAGGTAAACGGATGATCTCTACATATGTGGTTCCCACCGTGAAGCATGGAGGAGGAGGTGTGATGGTGTGGGGGTGCTTTGCTGGTGACACTGTCAGTGATTTATTTAGAATTCAAGGCACACTTAACCAGCACTAAATTCAGGGAAATTCTTGAGGGAAACCTTTTTAAGTCTTCCAGAGATTTGAGACTGGGATGGAGGTTCACCTTCCAGTAGGACAATGACCCTAAGCATTCTGCTAAAGCAACACTCGAGTGGTTTAAGGGGAAACATTTACATTTCTTGGAATGGCTTAGTCAAAGCCCAGACCTCAATCTAATTGAGAATCTGTGGTATGACTTAAAGATTGCTGTACACCAGCGGAACCCATCCAACTTGAAGGAGCTGGAGCAGTTTTGCCTTGAAGAATGGGCAAAAATCCCAGTGGCTAGATATGCCAAGCTTATAGAGACATACCCCAAGAGACTTGCAGCTGTAATTGCTGCAAAAGGTGGCTCTACAAAGTATTGACTTTGGGGGGGTGAATAGTTATGCACGCTCAAGTTTTCTGTTTTTTTGTCTTATTTCTTGTTTGTTTCACAAGAAAAAATATTTTGCATCTTCAAAGTGGTAGGCATGTTGTGTAAATCAAATTATA